TGACCTATGCATCCAATGGCCCAGTTTGAATGATATGTACTTTTTCCCCCTTCTGGGTTATTTGGCCTATTTCTGGGAAGTTACCTATACACTATACTAGCACCTTTTCGGATGAATGAGAAACTTGTTTTCTCTCTGTGGGTGCATTCATCCAATATTTGGCATGATGTCGATGGCTGCAATCCATACTTTGTATGCTGTATTTGCGACCGATCCCCGCGCCAGATGGCTCACTGGTTCGGACGGTAGACCGGTGACCGGGAGAGGGGAGAGAGAGTGCGTGTGGGGTCCACTCTGAGGACCCCGCCCCAAGCGCAAGTCACCGCCCATGTGCATGGTGGACATCATCGGTAACGACCTCAGGCTGTTTGACTATCGGCCAGTTTGATACTTGTCTGTATAGGGTACGGGAGGTAATGCATCAGTCAGTCGTCTTTCGCACACTCCACCAGGATTAGGGCCGAAAAATCGAAAGGGGCGCTTGATGGGAGCACGCCTTTTCGATTAACTATCATCGACCCAATCGCACTGCTACATGAAGTGGCCGACCTAACATCCACAAGGTTACAAACCAGTGGTACCTGCATGGAATAGGCCTGACGATTATCAGCTGAAAATGCACTTCTGTTTTAGATTGTCTTTTGGAAAGATCCTATTTCGTAGCCGTACCTGTTAGGAGTTAGGGTTATGGATTAGGGGTTAGGAGTCGGGTTAGGTATAAGGGTTTAGGGGTTAGTCTGGGGCTTGTCTACTGCAGGTACGGCCACGAAATAAGATCCGACCTGTCCTTTAATTGGATACCCACCTGTCGTGAATCTGAATGGCACTGAATACCTGCATGTATGTGACCAACGCGAACCGCTCTGCCAGATGAACAACCGCGTATTCTTAGGCGTCCTGTATAAAACTGCAAAGACAATGAAACTGATAAAAATAAACAGTCACTCAAACCCGCTGATTGGCACCTCGTGAGGGAAAAATTGGGAAAATAAGGCAGTAGACTGAGTGTCATGAGCTCAAATTACCCCCCCCCCCGCCCTCCAGTTTTCAGACTTGTTGAAAACAGTTCAGTGAAGAAGCCGTGTCGTCACCTCCTACTCCCATAAAACCAGGTTAAATATCGATTATATTGAGGTTTATTGGTGTTTTGGCAGATTTGAATAATTTATTTGACCCAATTTGGTCAAATAAATACTGAGGTTGTGGGAATCGAGATTGTATTGTGGAAACATTGAAAGTCACGAGAATACTACCTACGAACCACGCAATAGCGGTGGTCATTTGATAATGCGGATAAAACTCTGACGAAACTGCCTGGCGCTGACATGGAAGGAGCCTATGGGAACACTTAGCTGGACCTGTGTTCAGTAGGCGATTTTCCTTGGTCTTGACCACTTAAAACTCGTGTAAAACTCCGCTACTTATATCGAGGAGGTAGTAAGCGTAGTTAAATATATGTTACCTCGCAAACTACAATTCGTTCGAGGATGGGGGCAAGGAACACGGTATCGGGTTCGAATTATACACTACTTAGGGGTCACGAATTGTCACACAAGCCCACGACGACAATCCTTAGAGGACCACTTTGCTGGCTCTCATTCACTGCCAAATAATACTTGCTCCAAGTTACCTGAACGGATTACGGGGCAAGAAGAAAGGGTAGAATTGCAGGGGCGTGACGGCTAGGTTGCCGCCCATCCCTCACCTGTCATTCAGAGATTTCCCCTTCGCACTGCCAAGCTGGAGCTTGCCCACTATCTCGCATTAATGAACACACGACAGGAATCCCCAGAAAGTAGCCAACTGAGGACAGGTGAGGCGAAGAATGTGGCCAGATTACATGGCAGCGTCTACTTGTCATCGTAGACTCGATTTACATATTTGATTCTTCTCGAACAGCAAGAGCTGAACTTGCTGGTCTCTTTCATCGTCTTTGGCATACCGGTTCCAGAATCTTCATGGTAGCAGAGCAGTTCGAACCACAGTGTGTGCTCCAAGTTTTCTCAACATCCTCATCTTCACCTCTGCTCTTGCTTGTTGTTTGGGCCGAATTTTTTTCACCAACATGGTGTTCAGCTTTTTGAACAGGTCATTACACTGAGGCCGTTTCCGTCGTTGAATCCGAAGTTTCATCCCACGGGCAACCAGGCGGTGACTTACGCAGGATTCGGTGAGGAAATAACCTATTTTTAGCAACGACTTTAGATAGTTTCTCTTCCTCAAGATCACTTAGTATAGTCATCGCCAGTGACGTAATCGGGGGCCCACCTTAGCCTCATTCTTGTAGGTAGATAGGCAAAAAGCGGGATTCATAATAAATAGATTGTGCTGTGCGCAACTCAGCAGAGAATTTATATTGCTACAGCTGCCGTTGCAAACACCTCATCAAGCGGTGACGTAGACACTGACTTCTGTAGTCAGAGCCTTAAGAAACGGTAAAACGCCACAACTTAACTCCCTGACGCTCTCTCCCCGGCAGGCTCGATGTCTGGTTTGAGTTATACCGATTTATCACGTTACTACGTTTCTACCGTCAATGTCTGCTCTTAAGAGCAACCTATTCCTCGTCTGTCAATCTGTCAGTACGGCAATGAATGACCCGCCTGCCACACAACTCTAAGATAAATTAAGCTACCCTGAGAGTTGATACACAATGGCCAAATGAATGCCCTACCAAAATCCATTTATTTATGCTCGACGACCCCGCGACTTAATGACTGTTCAGTAGTATCCGTCTTTAATTTAAACATTATGAGCTGTTTGCGTAACTCGAGGGTAAAGTCTGGCTCCCGGTCCACCTTCTATCATTTCTCCCACGCCTCCCTACCTGTTTTAGTTTGCTACCTATATAGTAGCACCCGCCCCTTCAGCCCCGTCGCAAGAACTAGTCGTTTTCCAAATATCACATGGAGTGTAGAACTGACAGCTGCCATGTTATCCTTTCAGGCTCTTTCAAAAGTGAACACGCTTGACACATGCCGCCCATAGGCTTCCACAAGGCACTAGTAGTAGTAGTAGTAGTAGTAGTAGTAGTAGTAGTAGTAGTAGTAGTAGTAGTAGTAGTAGTAGTAGTAGTAGTAGTAGTAGTAGTAGTAGTAGTAGTAGTAGTAGTAGTAGTAGTAGTAGTAGTAGTAGTAGTAGTAGTAGTAGTAGTCGATTTTTATGTCTGTCAAATTTTTCGGATAGCAGCAAACCCAGTGAATTCACATTGTGTCAGATGAATGTCAGTGGAGGGTTTCCCGTAATCCTACTCGGCCTAATATCTAAGCTTAAAGGAAGAAGAAAAAGGTTTGTAAAAGTTCTATTTAATTTACATTTAGAAGCACTTTCGGTGGACGATCCCAGGCCCAGACTCGTCATACTCTTGCTTGGAAATCCACATCTGTTGGAATGTTGACAGGGAAGCCAGGATCGAACCACCAATCCACACTGAGTACTTCCTCTCCGGTGGCGCCACAATCTTTATCTTCATCGTGCTCGGAGCCAATGCAGATATCTCCTTCTGCATTCGGTCAGAGATGCCAGGGTACATGGTCGAACCTCCAGACAGAACCGTGTTCGCGTACAGGTCCTTCCTAATATCCACGTCACACTTCATGATGGAGTTGTATGTGGTCTCGTGGATACCAGCTGACTCCATGCCGAGGAAACTCGGCTGGAACAGAGATTCGGGACAGCGGAAACGCTCGTTGCCAATAGTGATGACTTGACCATCAGGCAACTCATAACTCTTCTCCAATGATGAACTTGACGCCGCATTGCTCATCTCCTGCTCAAAGTCCAACGCCACATAGCACAGCTTCTCCTTTATGTCTCGCACGATCTCGCGCTCGGCCGTCGTAGTGAAACTGTAGCCACGCTCGGTCAGAATCTTCATCAGGTAGTCCGTCAGGTCACGACCAGCCAGATCTAGTCGAAGAATGGCATGTGGCAGTGCGTAACCCTCGTAGATGGGCACAGTGTGAGTGACACCGTCACCAGAGTCCAGCACAATACCAGTGGTACGACCAGACGCGTACAGTGACAACACAGCCTGGATAGCCACATACATGGCCGGGGAGTTGAAGGTCTCAAACATTATCTGGGTCATCTTCTCACGGTTAGCCTTCGGGTTGAGAGGCGCTTCAGTCAGCAGTACAGGGTGTTCCTCAGGGGCAACACGCAGTTCGTTGTAGAAAGTGTGGTGCCAGATCTTCTCCATGTCATCCCAGTTGGTCACAATGCCGTGCTCAATTGGGTACTTCAGGGTTAGAATACCGCGCCTAGACTGAGCCTCATCACCGACGTAGCTGTCCTTCTGGCCCATGCCAACCATGACGCCCTGGTGTCTTGGACGGCCTACGATGGATGGAAAGACGGCGCGTGGAGCATCGTCTCCCGCGAACCCGGCCTTGCACATGCCAGAGCCATTGTCAATCACAAGAGCGGCAATATCGTCGTTAAAGCCCATGCTGTCTGCTTGCCTATGTGTGCCACCGGCGCCTTGGTCGTTCATTCTGTGAATTTATAGTCTGTACTTCTGGCCGTATATGGCCAATATCCGAGACTGACCAATGGAGTAGCAAGCGGACAGCTATTCACTTTCGCGGAGCCGTTTCAGTACACCCTTGTTTGCAGTTTAAAGTCCGGATGTCGGCCTGTAGTTTAAGAGTCTCTCTCACTCACTCTATGCTCTGCGTGCCACGCCCGTTCTGAACTTTACCAAGTCTGCAGTTGTGCTTAGGCCACAACTGGTATTTTCAGTCCTGAAAACCGAATTACACGTTGTTTAACAACCTCCCAAGTCACGGCTTTATACTGTGCCATTACGCCGTAAAAACGTGTCAGACTTGTAATAGAACAAAAGGGCGTGCAAGATCGGTCTCATTCTCTCGTCATTCCGCAAGACTACCTCAACGCAGTAGGAGGTGGGTGTATAGTCAAGCCTCTCGCACACGCTACAGAAATTGTAGTCTCCGTATACTTTTGATGCACGCCTAGGGTAGTCGTAGTGCTAGCTATAAAGACATGTAAGATTACTGTACAGTAGTTATCCTCGTTCAGCCTGCACCTTTGCCATGTCGAGATACGAAGACTCGACGGAGGTGGGAGGTCAACCTTGAATGCAGCTGGGGAGTCTACAAGCGCCTCGGAAGGCAGTAACGGCAGTTGTTCCAGCGGTTTTTGAGGTTGTCAGTCCCAGCACGAGGTGTGTGCGTGCGTGCATGCATGCATGCACCTTAGCATTGTCAGGCCGCGACCAATCGTTGAATATAAGGATATCGATCGGCAGGACGGAGGCTGAGTTACATGCGGTGCACGCAGTGAACTGGTCGCCGTTGACGCGCCATAACCTTCCCGAGGCGGGTTTCGATCCTCCCAATCCACAACCTCAGGCGTGCATCCCTGAGACCTGATAAGCTTCTTCGCAATGCGTCAGGCACCTGTATGTTCAGGGAAACCGGAGCATTCCATCTGAGGCAGACACAGCGAGATGCAACAGACACGGTGACTTGCTCGTGAATGAGTTTATAATGATAGTAGACTTGCACAGCACTCATCGCACTCTCTCCTTCCCATCCCCCACCTGGACCCGATGTCAAGACAGAGTCAAGGAGACCGGGGATGGGGGAGGGCGTGGGTGGCTGGCACGGCCGGACCCGCAGTTAGGCGTCCCACCACATCCCCTCGCCCACAACGTACACTTGATCAGGATTTTCCACCAACAACAACAACAACACCCCAACAGGGGTCAGAAGGACGAGGATGATGACTGGGCTGCCATGCCCACCACCTGTATACCCAGCGGGGGCGCAAACGCACCGACAGGAGGTAACTGCTGATACTGACATAGCACGAGCTTTCAGACACTTTGACTGTCAGATAACCACTGAATTGTTTAATAAAGCGCATAAGCTTGCTGCCTCAAAAAGTGTGAAATAAAAATTCTGGCGGATTTTGATTTTATCCGCGTAATTTAACTAGACCGGGACGGGACTTGTCACATCCGGCCCCTAGTTTTTTTTTATGTAAACGTCCGAGGTAGGTAATATCAACTTCAGCAGAACAACTGCATGGAATTCACACCTGCAAATCAAGTAGCGGCATGTGTTATGCGTAAAAACATTTTCATCATATATCAAATAAGTGTTCCAACGACGCTTCTGTCACCGCTTCGTGGTTCATCTGCGACGGGTTCAACACGGGTTCAACGGTTAGTCATTTCACGCTCTCCGTGAGGTACCCGATTTATATATATCCGGTTAGCGAACAGGAGTTTATGGCCCAGTTACTCCGCAGAAGTCGATAACATCTAATTCAACTGCCGGACCCCAAAAAACTCTCTCGAGCCCAACCACCAGCCACACAGAGGCGCATGATATAGGCAGAAGGGGTATTACCGACAAAGACAAATGAGACTGGAATGGCCACTTCTGGCTTATTAGCCGTCGCCAGCCAGCCACACCCGAGGTGTGGAACACTAAGGCCTCTGTTGGTTAGAATTCCAACGCCTCTAACCACCCCTCTGTCATTTTACATTCCCAATCGCAAAGAGCCGTGGCTCAGTGGTTAGAGGCTTTGGACTTCTAACTAACAGGTCGCGAAATCGAGCCCCAGATGTTGCCCACTTCGGGGTTGGGTATGACTGACTGACGACGGCTAATAGGCCAGAAACGGTCACCCCAGTCTCCTTTGTCTTTGTTGGTAATAAAATTCTGCCCATGTCATGCGCCACCTTGCGGCTGCTGGTTGGGCTCGAGAGAGCAAGCCCGTAAGGCACAACGGGACGAGTCAGTTTCATAAAAACGATCGGTGAGCGTCCTACCCTATTCTACGCGGAGAAGGCAAGGATAGGCTGCCACCTCAGACCGCCTCAATGTGCATCTAATCATTCACTTGCTCCTGTGGAGCAGGTTATATTGGTCGTGCGAGTCGGCGCCTTTCCAAAAGAATACGAGAACACCTTCCCGCATGGCCGGCAAGGGGTGAAACTAGGAGAATAGACAGCGCCATGCTTGTGCATGCAGTGGACTCAGGGTATCATGTGGACCCCACTGAAGCATTTCGTGTGATTTACAAGGTCCCCTTGAGCTACCCTAAGCTACTGGGCCAGCGCCCGTGAGCAACAGCAGAAGCGGCCGCCATAAGATTACGAAAACCGACCCTATGCGCCCAAAAGAACCTTGTTCAGGCTCCGCGCTTACTGTGGTCAAAGGTTGACTAACCACATACAACTTTCTGCGCCCTTCCGCTCTTGCCTAGTCTGTAATTTAAAACCTAATTTTTATCGATTTTTGTTTCACTCACTGTACCCCGCCCTATGTAACTGTGTTGGCCTGATGAGAATTTACCGAAAGGAACGTTCGCTCGCCACTGTCTCTTTTGAACATTTTGCTAGTCTATAACATAATTTTCACAATTATGTCAACCAATCCTACCTACTTTCATCAGAACTCGTCACAAGATCAGCTTGAGGAAGAGGCTGTGGCGACTTATTCGGCACTGTGACAGCTACCGAAATCCCCTTTACAGTGCACTGCTTGCTCGACTCATGACTCAGCCTCTGGTTCCGATACCATACCACCGATCGATATTTTTCTCTTGAACGATTGGCTGCAACTGGACAAAGCTCGAGCGCACGCACGCACACACGCAACTCGCGTCGGGCGTAATAACATCAACGGCTGGCAGTCAGCTTGTCTGCCCAATTGCTACCGCTGCCTCCTTAGCCTAATGTGGCCTCTGTGGTAAAGGTCGTCCTACTGACTCTCCAACATCTGGTTTGTGAAAGTTGATAGCTGGCTCGGGAAGTCTTCTTGCGAAAAAGCTAGCAGTATGACACCAGGCCACTCGTGGTTGAAGTCTACGGGGTAACGAAGGCAGCCCTGACATGTCAAGGAACTAGGGCCTCCTGGCTGCATGACACTTGTGTCTGTGATCCGCATGTCTTCGAGAGTCTGTACACGCGGACTACAGTGTACAAGGACAGGCCTCAAACCTGCAACATTCCTTAATACAGTAAATATTGTCCAAATAACTTTCTCCGTTTGACTTTCGATTTGCGAAACTCTGCGCTGTTGACTATCGCACTTCAACTTCATCCATCTTGGAGCGACACTCCCTTGTTACCCTGGTCCTCAGTGTTCATGAGGCCTTAAGCGACTTCCTCACCGGTATACGGAGAGGGGGGCAAGGGTGGCAGACATCTTCAAGAGAGGAGGGGCACTCGAGTGAGCAGATTGGAAGGAGTCCTTCTGAGAAAGGCAGTCTTAATCACACTTTACCAGGCCTAGACCCGCCATAAATACCCATGTTTTTTACATGTTCGAAACTTGACAGTGTTCACGAGGTCTGATCATCTGGCAAAGAAGGTTGTTTCTCTGGGACCTTGCGGTCCAGTGCTAATGGCCCAGTGACTAAAATTTTTCACTGAAGACCAAACTGAGATTTTGAATAACTGTTGTCTAAATGTTAGCGTACTGAGTTGAGCACGGGAATGCGGACTCCTCTCGCAGTACAGGTTGTCTTGCTCCGAATTCCAGGAGAGTCCGAGCTAGGTTTAGAAGGATTAGGAATCCATAGAATGAATTGGGAACCGAGGAGGCTCCAAGCGCAGTTTTACTGTAATTAACCGAAAAATGTGGACCTTTCCTCGACGGGAAAAGTTTCTAGCCACTCGAGGGCTGGCGCGCTGACTATGTGGTGACACACCTCTCTTGAACTTCATGTACCCTGGCCCGCGTGCCACCTCGGCCTTGCCTGCATGTAAGGCCACTCGAATGTAGGCAGTGACTGCCTCCCAGTTAGCTGAGTCTAGTGGCTCCTTGCTCAGGCGTTGTGTTAGGCCTGAAATCCAATAGTAATTTGGTGCTCACTTGTTGGCGCCAGAATGACTTTCCCCTCCTCCCCAGCCATGTGGACCCTTGTCCGCCGATAGTCCTTCACTATTTGCTTTCAATGGCCTGAACAATCTGACGCCATTATGGTTGACGCTGGAATTCTGTCTACCTGAATACCACTTTTAGAAGCTCACTATTATCGTGCACCTTAAGTGACAGCTGTTCTGCTCGTTAGTAGATGCAAGGGTCTCGTTTAGTTCAGACGAAGACGAAGACCTGTCCGACCAGCAGTCCACTCGCCAAACGGCCGAATTTAACTTCACGAGTCGGAGTTGATTGATATACTGCTAGAGGAACCCAGAAAAGGCGTTGGCATGCCATTTTTGTCAGACGTCAATTGTTTTGGCGTAGGTTTCGTTTGATTCAAAACACTGAGCTCACTTCATTTCAGTTCATCTCATTTTTACTAAGGGAAAGATAGGTGAACACCTTTTGACTCAATATTGGTCACAGATTGTCAAAGAAACATCGTCGATAAGTAGAAAATTTAGAGAGAGTTTGTTTACATAATTGCATGCGAAGAGCCTGGCGTTCAAAAATTGTAAACATGAACGACTACTTACCAGTGTAAGCAGTCTGATGGAAGCGAACAGGCGAGTCCCAGGTAGCAGTTCAGAAGATGAAGATGCGATCGCATCTTCATCTTCTGTAAGCAGTCTATATATCTAAGTTTAAAGCTTATTATGTGAGTGTGCGTCTGCGCGGCGGGTAACTAGGGCGCTTGATACATGTCGGTATGTTTTCAAGACACGGAAACGGATAGCAGAATAAAATAATTCAGTAAGCAAGATGAATTATAGGATGAAAAACCAAGTGATTCCAGACACTATTTAACTAGAAAACGCGGACATGAAGTTTTGACCTGTCGTCATGAGCACAGGCAAAGTCCTGAAGGAGAGGAAGAAGAAGAAGAAGAAGAAGAAGAAGAAGAAGAAGGAGGAGGAGGAGGAGGAGGAGGAGGAGGAGGAGGAGGGGGGGATAGGAGGAGGTTTTAGACTGAACGAGCTTGAAAAGGCCCATTGATACTCCTGGTTCGTTTTAATGATCCTCGGCTTACCTAACTCAATTTTTTGTCTCCAATCTAAACACTTGTGTTTCCAATCTGTAGGGTAAAAAAATCATTTGGATGGAGGATAGTTCAAGCGAGTGCCACTTAAACTTAACTGCCACCACTGAGGGCCGGAGATTCGGGATGGCCAACATAGCTTTTCATTATGGGTTCATCCTGTTCAACTGACTTCGGCACAAGTATCTATTAAACTTTTTGATGTTCGTCTTTAACCAACCTTTCCCTGGGTGTAAAAGAGGGAAATGCCGTGTTACCAGCAGTCTAGCATTAACAATCTCGGCAGGGAAGGTGATAACAAGTAAAGGTCTGGACCAATGGCATAGTTAACTGGACCTTCGGTACCCGGCAGAGCCTGTCGACAGTTGTAATGACAACCAGTAAAGACTTACTGGTGCTGATAGAGCCCAACACGCGGTGGATACGTCCCTAAAACGGGCCATACGATAGATGCGCTAAGCCGAGAGGTGGACTAGACCGGAGTCCGACAGGCGATACTGGGAATGAATAACCATAGGAAATGCCCATTTGCAAGCCCAGTAGGGATTCGAGTCGAATCCCTTTTTAAATTGGTGTATAAAATGCTGGTCAGTGTACGTTGTGAACCAGAAGGTGTACTGGTATACCTTGATGCGGATTCTCGCCGTGACAGCCACCTGTCTCTTCTCCCGCCTCCGGTCTTCTTGACCATGTCTAGACACCGCATTGAGGTGGAGAAGGAGAGAGTGGGTAGATGTAGCACAAAACCACTATTACCATAAACTAATTCACGCCCAAGTCACTGTCCCTGCTCTTCCCCTGCTGTGGGGCGCACAATAGATGTCATCGTGTGTGGTTCCATTTCCTGCATCAGACATGTAATAGCTCGGACAGTGGTCTAGTGCCTGAGAGTGGGAAGAGAATGAGGTTGAGGTCTCAGCACATTTTCCTCACTATAAACTATCTGAAGCGCTGAAAGCCATTATGGTGTCCTAAAAGCCTTGGTTCGGAAAGTTTCAACCGACAGGATAACTCGGATCTCTCAGTCGGTCAAGGGTGTGCTTGTGTGGAGTTACGGAATGCCGGACTGTTCTTCAGGCTGCAATGGTTCCTTCTTAATGTAACCTTTATGGCACTCCTACTCAATTGAATCAGAATTATCTTTTTCATTCTAGGTGTAGAATCCTGGTCAGTGTGGTGATGCTGTAGTGGACAGCCATCATGACCGGTCCGGCGTCATTGTTCGAGACCTCGCTGTCTCAAGGTCATCCACCCTTTTTAGTGAGTCGCTCCAGACGCGCTGACCTGAAGTCCTACGACCGACAGCTTGGGTATACCAGCGTCCGCACAGCCGCAGCTGCCCATGAGGCCACTTGAAAGCGCCTCCCCCCTGCAACCACAACCTAGGCAACTGGGACACCATCCCTCGGCAAATGCAACATACACTGACTGGCCACAACTTGAGCTTGGCCCACGTGCCTCCAAAAGCGGCCGTCACCACTATCTCAGGGACTCTCAGGCATGACTGGACGCAGTCAACGCCAGCGCTGGCTTCGCCAGTGGCCACTGCCGCCTGAGAGGACAAATCCGGGTTCTGTGCACAATAAACGCCTCATTCTGGCGCCTTCCGTGTTCTCCTTCCAACATGGGGTTTGACTTAATAATTGTAGCTCACAGACACACACACATCCTCACGGCTGTGCCATCACACTGCCAATAATTGCGGGTTTTCGCGAGGCCAGTCAATTGTGTCCTCTCCAACCTCCATTCTTCTTGACTTGTTCATGCCACCGGATCCGGGTGAAGGAGGTGGGGGGAGTGCGGTAGGCGCAGCGCAAGTCCAATATCACCCTAAACTAGCTCACGAGCAAGTCGCCGCCGCTATTCTAACCCTGTTTTGGAGCAACCAGTGGACATCGTAAGTCACGACGTTCGTGTGTGTGTCAGCTGGGTGGCCTTGACCTCAAAGTCGTCATTCTGGCAGTGGGGCCGTATCGCGCGTTAAGTGCACGGCTGGTAAAAATGCTGGCTGACGGAATTTCATTCGGAGGTCAAGTCCTTAACTGGCTTCCGATTTAATTTGATGCCGATCCACGCCATTATCTTCGCCCCAACGAAAGCAAACTTACGAGAAGGGGAACCAGTGCGTCACCCCCCCCCCGCACTTTTTGTACTAGCGCACTCGTTGATCAAGCCTTCTTTATTTCTAGCCTGCATCATTGTAGGAACAATTTTTGGATCAGATGTAGTTAATAAACCGCCAGGTCCACGTAATTGATTGGTGTTTTGGCAGATTTTGAATAATTCACTTCATACGGCTTTTGTATGTGGAATGTTGTGCTGGGGATAAGGGGACCGAGCGAAAGGGAAAACATTTCCTGGCAAAATATAAACAGACTTGTGACAACCCACCCCTGTCATCGTCCACCACGCCCGTCAGTCAATGCTCGAGCGCGTGACAGTCTTCTGCTCGCGGACACCGTGGCGTCAGTTGACATTTCTCTCTTCGCCAATCGGCCGCAGCCGGACGGTACTCAAGCGTAATCACCTCGACTGTCACTTGACTGGTGAGTCAGCTTGACCCAACTGTTTTCTGAGCCGTGCGTACGCTCTTTCGCCTCAGTAAAGCTTGTCCATCTGACTGTCTAACTTGCCTTGTGATTGGGAACCCTCGAGTTGTCGCATGGCTACTCAAATTCCAACAGTAGGCACGTTTCAATGTATTAAAGGCGGTGCACTTCTACCGACGCGTCTGAATGACTGCCCCTAGACTGCACGTTCGGATCACCTCGGGATCCCCGCTGCCGCGAAACGACGTCTCGAGTCCGGCCTGACTACCTGCCCATCAAGCCGTCTCCAGTCGAGAGCCCAAGCCCTTATGCAGGAGGAAAGATCAGACAGAGATACCATAGGAGAATTTTGTGTGTCGAAACACCCCTGAGGGTTGACCTAAACAAGTGTCGTGCAAATGAGTCTACCCTTACAGCTAACGCCAACCACTTACCCAGCGACTACGATACGCACTAACTTCTAGGGTGTACGTGCATAACTTGGGTTATTTTTGGGGCCCGGGAGTGACGTCATGTCGAACGATGCCACAAGTACCTCCACTCGAGCTTGCGGCAATCCGCTATCGTGATTACAAACGCAGCCGCTCATCCATGCGGCCTTCGATCTGCCTGAGTTCATCTTGACAGTTTGGTGCTTGAAGCACTCGTTACTTGGCGCTGACGTTGCGAGGACTCAATGCCAATCGACGCCGCACCCTTCGCCGATTGTTCGCGGGTGGACAAGGCCCAGGCGAGAGCACGCCCTTCACAGTGGACTGGACAAACGGTTGGACTCGGCTGGAAAGGGCACGTGCTGACTGCCTGCTGAGCCACGTGTACGTTCTCACACCTCAATAAACCCTGTCCAATAACTCGGTATTGATCTGGCTTTTGATTTCGGAAACCTTGCGTTGTCGACCCACTTCACCTCGACAAGAGCTTACTTTTCGGAAAAGGGCTGACAGATCAACTTGAAGTCGTTTCCAATTAAGTCAGCTTCTTGCGAAAGTCACTTGGGCAGGTTGCAAAACACGCTGTCCCTCACGGCAGACTGTCGATTGTCATCGGTCATTAGGATCAGCTTCTTGACTCAAACTTAGCTCAGAAGCTTTTTTGATTAGTTAGTAACTGGTTTTGCCTACGAGTGGTGTGCTTGTCGAGGTGCGAGGTTTCCCAAATTATGAATCGGGGAGGAGGGAATTTTCCAATAAACTTTATTAAGGCTAAAGCAGGCTCAGCACGCAGAGGCAGCAAGTGTTATCACCAGGCGTTTAAGTTGTCAGCCCCAGTGCAAAGTGTGTGCCTGCGCCTGAGCACTGCCCGGGTTTGGCCAATCGATTAACAGAAAATATATCGATTGGCTTTACGGCGTCGGTGAGCCGAAGGCTGAGTCACACGCTAACAAGCAATGACTGTCAGACGTGCTACGCGAACCGAAGACGGCATGAGTAAGCGGCGTTGCTGATGCTTGCTAGAATCGAGCGCCACATTTTTATAGGACTGTCGGTCGTTGGGGCAAACTTGAGTCTTCTCACCCTACTCCAACCGCTTCCTTGCAACTGATGTCTTTCCAGCGCAGGCGTTCGACCTGTCACCGCTTTCTTCTTCTTCTTCTTCTTCTTCTTCTTCTTCTTCTTCTTTCTCTTCTTCTTCTACTGCCTCTTCTCGACACTAGAACGCAAACTCCCAGCTTTTTTATCTGGTTAACACGTCCTCAGTAATATTATCCCACTATTATCCGGATGCATCTCGCAGAACTATATAGATGGTGTAAAAAAATCAAGCGTGACAGATTTTACTGAGGGAGAAGTCTAAGTCGAGGACTTTTTTCACTGACAGGGACAGAGACACCAAAATGCCCAATCCCGACTTAGTTACCGCTGTCAGCCAGCAAAAACCCTGATAGTTTAACCATCGTGTGCGGTGACATCCATCGCGCGGCACACGGAGTGCGCGCAGCAGCGCTGACTTGAGGGCTGTTGTGAGACAAACTTGCACAGAATCCACCACCCTCTCTCACTCCTCACCTACCTGGCGCGGAGGTAGGCGGGGGCTCTGTGGCTGACAAGGTCAGACAGGCCGTTTAAGCGTCCCACAAACGAAACAGCCCCCACCGGGTGTAAGAGCGATTCGGACGTCACATCAGTGAGGAGGCCATAAAGGCCACATTAAGAAGAGATCAGTTATCCTGTCACCCCAAAAATATTCCCATGAGGAACTGGCTGACGCGTCAATTGACAGCCTTGCAAGTCACGACTCTCAGCGTGCCGTGATAGACTCATGAGCGTCAGATTTATAATAGTGAGAAATGCGCTGATTTACCGTGATGATGAGTTCCCCAGTATCGGCCTCACTAACCATGGTTTCACTTCGAAGGTTCAGATTGGAGTTAGCTTACTATCGAGCGACGCCCTCGCTACTCCGCTGTGGGATCTCTGTACGTTGGGGGCTATTCAGACACAGAGGAGTATTTTTGTGGACTGCAGGGTCTAAACTCCAAGGTCAAGCGGAGATACCCATTCCCGCTCTGCAATTGTGGTAGAACGGTGCACTTCAATACTGTTGTGCGGCTGAATACATCGGAGTTCAGCCGTCCCCCTCCCCCCCCCCCTGTCTACCTGTGGAGCTGTAAGCCCCGACGCAGTGTCCCAGTGCCAGCAAGAAGGGTTGGAAGATGCTACAGAATAGTGCTCACGTGTTCTAGGCGTCTCTCGTTTAATAGGCAACGGTGAACACTGCTAAGCTGTCACGGGACCTCCCAGAATCACATGTACCCCATACGCAGGAATTAGGGGTTGTCATGCTAGGCGTCCTTCGCGGAAAATGTAAATAACTGTCGGCCTACCCATGACCCATATTCGTTGTCATGCTACTTGGCTAGTCTATCGTGGAAGCTTGTAGCTGCCCGCTCTCATGGCCGTCAGCACCGCCGCTTATCCATCTCTCCTCCGATCCGCAATAACACACGTGACAAGCACAGCGTGCGCGCGTGACTAGACCTCTGGTTTCCGCCGCCGTGACGTCGATCGATATTCCTCTCTTCACCGACTGGCGTATACACTTCAACTGAGACTAGCCTGCTGAGGACGCTAACTACAACGGGCTGTGGTGCTGCGAGTACACTCGGCCCCAATAGGAGGTCGTCCGTCTACCCATCTTCTTGTCTTGTTTAATTTCCGAGGAACTTAATGCGAGAACTTGAAGAAAATCCTTCGGAACAGACCGTGCCTGAAAAGGTTTGTTCCGAAGGATTTTCTTCAAGTTCGTGCATAAATTTCCTCGAAAATTAAACAAGGCCTGGTGAAACTGGAGTTCATATACCAGAAAACACACGGGGAAGACTGGGGAACCCACTGATGAGCCGTTGCGTCAGACAGCGGCACAAGATCGGCGAAACACGCGTGTCTGGGCTTTTAGCATTTACCTGTGTTGCCAGTACGGTAAATAATTACACAATTCTAACGATCTTCTCTGGCTTTTGATTTGGAAACTGTCGAGTTGTCGATTGTCGTGCACGCACAAACAATGACCTCCGACGAACGGCAATCTTCGCCCATCCAGATTTTCAATGTAGCCCGATGATGGCGATGTACAACCTTCCACCAAAAGGTAGCTTATCTTCGCATCGTCTTCTCGCCACCTTTCGACTGCCTTACTCACCCAGCTTGTCGGGCAGCTGATGGGCATGCGTGATTTCGTCAAGCCTTCTTTTCCCGCGATTTCAATTCTAACAGCTTCACCTGCGTCCATTCTCTCGAACTTGAAGCCACAGATGATGAATCTCACATTAGATGTAGCCCCTCTTTGGCAGCAGGCAGCCTCCCTTTCACCAGGCGAGCTAACCGACGTTATTCACCCGGCAATTCCAACACACTTTTTCGTTTCGATCTAGCACAGATACCACTTGTTGGTATCGTACCACAGTTGGTGACAAAGCTCGTCACTGCAACTCTCCCTGCCCCCTCACTTAAAAACAGACCAAACGGACGGTGCGAAGATCAGTTTGCTCGATCTCCTGGCGCATCCCGGTCTTACCACACATTCTACGCCTGGGGCAGTCTGGCTCGCAGACGTTTTTTCGTGGATACTGGAGCCCAGATCGGCGTGATCCCTCTCACTCCAATCGACCGCCGCTGTCCCAATCCAGGTCTTTATCTCCAAACTACCAAACTGTTCCTCCATTTCCACGTTCACCAGTCTGTTCCTCAGTTTAAACATCGGCCTTCGTCGTTCATTCTCCGGGATCCTTGGGATCCCCGATGTCCCTCATAGAGTCGCCGGCTCGGAATTTCTAGTCGAATTTGAGCTCTTAATGGGATGCCGGCGTGCCCGACCGCACTACTGGTCTATCTGTTCGCGGGTTGGCTCCCTTTAAAGCCTCCTTCCACTTATCTGTCCTGTATATAGATATAGCTTTCCCTTATCGGGAGCTCCTCCCCTAATATCTGAATATCACCGACACCAGTTCCTCAATTCCAAGTTCCAACAAGATATTGCGCACCATATCAACACCTCAGGCCCTCCTGTGTTTGCTTGGCCTAGATGACTGGCGCCGACCTGCCTACAGGTCGCGAAGGCGGAGTTTGAACACACTTTGCAATCGGGCATCATTCGACCGCCCGGTAGTTCCTGGGTGTCCCATCAGCACATGACGCCCAGGGCAACATCAGGCAATTGACGATCCTGTGGCGACTACCATGCCTTTAACAATGCTACCATTCCCGACCGGAACCAAGTATCTCATCTTCAGAATTGTTCTGGAACCATTTTATGCGAATGGTTTTTTTTCGAATATCGGTCTACACTGCGCCTTCTGCCAGATACCTGCCACCTCTAAACTGCTGCTATTACTCAATTTGGCGTCTCCAAATACATCCGCATGTCCTTCGGCCTTTCTAGTGCTGCCCAGACGCTCCAGAGGTCCATCAACCGTGTCTTACGTGACTTGTCGTTTATGTACGCTTATATCGATGATCTCTTGGTGGCTACTTGAAATGCTGAAGAGCACATGAAGTATCTCGTCCGAATGTTTGATCGGCTCGACAGAGAACGGCGTCATCACCAACCCTTCCAAGTGCGTTTTTAATGTATCGCTTCCTGAATTCCTTGGTCATCACGTCGATTCTGAAAGTTTGCCTCCTCTATACGCTAGGGCTGAAGCCACTCGCGATTTTCCTCTAAAAACCTCTAAGCATTGGCTGAAACGTTTTCTTAGCATGGTCAACCTTTGTTACGGATTCCCACCAAGCTGTCCCGACCTCATGCTGTCGTTCACAAACATGCTTTCTGGTCCCAAGGATTGACTCCAGTTTAATGAAGGTTCTGTCCCTGATGGTAGGCGCCTCGACCGTAGCTGCAGGCGTCGTCCTTCGACAACATCTTGCTGGTTCGACCCAGTCACTGACTTACTTCCCTAAAAAAATTCTCACAGACTGAGATACGCTACAGTGCCTTTGGCCGTAAACTACTGGCCTCCGCTCGATTGTGAAACATTTCTGACACTTCTTTGAAAGTAGTGACTTCACTATTTTTACGGGCCATAAACCGCTGAAGTTTGTCCTTTGATCCTACTCTGACAAATATAGTCCGAGAGAGATTGATCACTTAGACTACATCTCACAATTCACTACCGACATCCCCCGCATTGATGATACGAAGAATGAGGTGGCTGACGTGCTGTCCGGACCTTCCCTCTCCGCACTCCAGTTCCCATATGGGATCGATGGGTCGATTGGTCTGGCGACGAGTTCTTTAGTGGTCTCCAGATGGTAGACGTTCCCCTAGCCACCGGTATTGGCAAAATCCTTTGTGACTTCTCGACTGCTTCTCAAAGCCCCGTCTCGATGCGTCGAGCTGTTTTTTAATCTCTCCAACCCCGGAATCCGAGATTCACAGAATCTCCTCGTGGGAGGATCCGCCTGATCTGGCATGAACAAGGCTGACAAAGCTTCGGCACGGTTGTGCCTGAATTGTCAACGGTGTTACAACAAGTCTCCGCGAGACACCTTCCTCAGCCTCGACGCCCGGTTTACCCATGTTCGTTTGGATGTCGTAGGCCCCTCGCGTCTACCTAATGCTTACACTCACCTCCTCCCCTGCGTCGATCGGTATACACGCTGGGCTGAAGCCATTTCTCTGCCGAATTCAGAGGGAGGATACCATCACCAAAGCATTCGTCAGTCGTTGGATCGCCATTCCCGGTGCTTTATCAACGGTCACAGCTGACAGAGGATCCCAGTTTGAGTCCTCTCTGTCTTATAAGCCCTCCTCACTTTTCTTGGCTGAACGTGCATACAGACAACAGCCCACCCAGCAGCCAATGGCATGGTTGAGAGTTTCCGCCGCCAGCTAAAGACAGTCCTGTGTGGGGCAGAGAATTCAGCAAACCACTCCGACAACCTGTGTCTGGCGCTTTTCGACATTCGACCGGCACTGAATCTGGGTGTAGACTGGAGCGCAACCGGGTTAGTGTTCGACACTATCCCCTGACTGCCAGGTGAAACTGTCATCCCAAAAATCTCGTGGTGCTGACGAGAGGTCTGCCAGTTTTGTGTATCCTCTGTGGCAGCTTATGCGTCTGCTATTCCCCGTCTCATGTTGAACTACATCGACCGGGTCTTGTGTCGAAAAACGCTTGGCCAACTGCACTCATGTGTTCGCTCGGTGTGACTGTGTACGCATGTCGCTGGAATCACAATACGAAGGACCGATCCGGATACTTTCACTCGCTACCAAGACCTGCCGGAACCGTCGTGACGACAAGGAGGATGTGGTCAGTGTCGATCTGGTCAAGGCTGCGTGGTGGATGAGCCGCCCGACCGGCTTCAAGGACAAAACTGTTCAAAAAACCTTTCCACAAATAGCTGCGCTGAGTCATAGCTCTTTGATGTCTTTCAACTGTCGCAACTACTTTACTGTACGGCTAGGCTACTTTGAGGTCTTCTACACTCAGCCGAAAATAAGTCCGTCGTTTCGTTAGATCTCCCATTCAGTTTGAAGGGCAATATAGTCTTCTAAAGGAATGCTCCCTCTGAAAACTTCCTCGAGGCACATTTATAAAGAGTGGAATAGTACAATTGTATGGTCCTTTCATTTACTTGTGCGCATAAAAGCACATGTTGGCCAACACTATCGATAAAAGGCAATACTCATGGTCAGTTTTACAATGGACTCTTGTCCAAGAAATAAATTCTCAGTTACACGATACTTGAGCTTCAAGAGTCTTAGTCCTCATCCAGCGGCAAATAGCCCAGAGGGGATCTGGGATGCCCCTTTTCCAATACATAAGAATAAGAAGTCAACGAATATTGTACGCCTTACCATCGGACATACAGTAAAATGCTTCAGACACTGAGACCACCTGACTGGATGGGCAGGACAAATAAAGCGTATAATTTTATTTCCTTAGAGGGGTAATTTCCCATCGGTTGATCGGATAAGCATTAAGGAACCCACGCACGCACTTTCCTGATACAGCGGGCCTTTTGGCTTGCGGCAGTGACATTTGGGACTTGTCTGTGTAATAAAACTCTCAGGCATAATCTTTATGCTCTGCAATCCCCCTTGCGTTAGTCGAGACACTGTCGTAGTGATTAATTCATTGAGTCCCAAATACTAGGACTACGCCTAACCGTGTGTAGAGAAGCCTCTGACAGCTCTTTCAAGGTGTAACCAGTCAGAAATGGACGAATTTATATGCATAGGCAGGCAGTGATTACCGGCAAAGACAAGGGCGACCAGGATGGCCATCATCTGGCCGACATCAACCGGCCAGAGCTTTTGCAACCCCCGAGGATCGAAACCGCAACCTGTCGGTTAGAAGTCTAACGCTCTTAACAAGTGGGCCACGTACTCCTTGTCGCGTCGATTGCGATCGGGTATACTAACAGTGGTAGAGGAACGCTTACCGACGTGAATAACCGGCCGGCGCTGATCCAGCGATCGCCTTCGGTCTGAAGCTCCACAGGTAGTTGCATAGTAACACCTAACCCCGACCCCAACCCGAACCTTGAAAATTTGTGCAAGGTGGCTTGTGACACCTAAAATGACTCAAAAGGGCTACCGAGGCATAGATTTTCTTTTAGTAGATCTCCGTACTTCATCCTTCAATTTGCTCGCGCGGGGTGTCTCCCAAGAACCTTCCTGATTGCAGGCATGATAATGGATGACCTCGCTTTGTCTCGAAATATCGGCCTTGAACCCACTCCGGTCTCGAAGAACGATGAACGGTTAATAAGTAAGGAGATTGGACAGGCCGTTTTAGACTTTTTATACCAGCACCCAGCGGACCCTCAACCACAAGCCACCAAGACCCCGATCAACTAGTCCTCGAGCCAAATGGGTTGTACTACTTATGCCAGTCGCCCGCGTTCTGCGTACAGCGATAGGAATACTCAAGGCCACATGAAGGAGGTGTCTAATGACTCGTCCTTGAGCACCTGCATGCCGAATCGTACGACATACTTACTTTCTTCCATTAAGTGAACACTTTCCTTCGACCGCTCAACTACTTCTGATACTTGTAAAATTAAGCACAGTAAATATATGGTTCTAAGTGAATCGACAATCTAAAGGAAACAGCCTCTTTCGGGGCGCAAGAGAGGAAGCCGATGCAGAAGGTCGGGAGTTTCTGACGCGGAAAGCAGTTAAAAATAGATCTCCTAGCTAGCACTTTCCCCTTGGCGTTGTTGTAACCATGACAGAATTCAGGTATAAGGGCATTTCTAATCCACCTTATCTGCACTTATCATGGTGTCATCAAATTGTAAACCTCAGTGACGCTTAACCGACTGTCAGACGAGCCGGATAAACTCCGGGCTCTTAAGATCCATCTAGGCAACATCCATAGATGCCTTAATTCGACCGACCTCGAAGCCATCAACAGCTGGAGTGGGGTTCGGATGTGATGACTTCCAGGACGGTGTCGTTTTTTTGTCGGTACAACGCATGGCCAGACCTTTAGAGCTGGTTAGTAGGGAGATCATGGTCAACCGGCTTTCTTCCCCTCCATCGAAGATGTGATCTGGTGGAATTCGTTGGAGGATGAGACATGAGGTGGAGGATCCCTCCTGAACACACCAGCCATGTTCTTCACCCATATAAAAGGATCGCTCTGATGAGAGCTTCGGCTCCTCTCAGCCTGTATGATCTCACTACAGTATCTAAGCGTTCAGAGAAGGCTTGTACGTATTTGAACTTTTTACGGTCCTGATAATACTTGCTCTGGATGGCCAGACCGCACGATCAATCGGCAGTGGTGGACTTGGGAAGTTCGACTCACTCCTTTTTTCAACTATCCAACACGACCACCACCAACCCGAAAAACCACTTCCGCGAGTTGACTGACTGGCAGGTCTCGAGAGCCGGAAGTGCGCGGTGCACGCGATTGTTTGCGATGATGGAGAAGCAGCGTCGGGTTCGTAGCCACATTCTGGAGATTTCGAAAACACTGCAGACAGCATCTGCTCAGGCGATGATGTCGTCCTTACTCTGTCCGTTTGCCCACTTTTTAAAACTGGCCACCATCAAATGCAAGGGGCTTTTTCTCCAAATCAGGGACACAGTTCGACAAAACCTTCGTCCTCGTAGCCCTTATGAATAAACAGACTAAATTAGTGATCTCACTAGCCGGCAATACTGCATTCTGTAGGACACCATAGGTTGATGCCAGCAAAACACTATCGTCAGCGTACTCGAGGTTGGCCGGGCGGTTTTTATGCGTGTACGTGATACGAAATGCACATTGGGCAAATTTAACCCTTTGAGGATCCAGTCAACGACATGTTTAGACAGGATGGACTACTAGACGCAACTTTGTCGAACTTCAGACCGAAACTGAGCGATTAAGAGGTATAGCCGCGGATAAAAACTACTGCGGTGGCGAAACGATAGTAGGCCTTCGATACACTGCTCAGCCGTAGTATTCCCCGCATGGACCCCTAGAGGGTAATGACAGCTGCAGTGAACTCAACAAAACTGGTAACCGTCAGCTGTTGGAAGCCATTGCGGAATTCGAAAAGGCACGGCAATGTGGATGTGTGATTGATGCATGCGCATGACGCTGGGAATAAATTTTGTTTTGCTTTTGTCCGTCAGTCCCGCACAATTATTGACTTTCACGAAAGTGGCCAAGGCAAAGAATCACGTTGTGGGACTTTCCACTCCCCTCTTACCGCCTTGACAATAGGTACACAGATAGCTGGGTCCAGTCATCAGGGATGATCTCACCTCCTCAAACTCGTTCGGCTGCCTAAAAATGTCCCAGAAACGAAAAAATAAAGACAGAAAGTTAGACCGAACGCAACGGGGCCTCATGATACCATCGTAGCAGAGCCGGTGCACGGCGGTCGACTGCAGGAGCAGCCACGTCTATTCCGGAAATATTTACACTTCACCGGTTTTCAGAAAACAACTGGGATCCAACGCCCAGGCTACCGGAACCGCGGCGTCATCAGCCTGCGTAGGACTTACGGTCTACAGGTCACCATTAATCCTGACTGCAAGTGTTGAGGAACGCAGACGAAGGTAGAGTCCAACGCGCTAGAACGACGGATGCCTCAAACAGAATATCCTCTCCAGCATTCACTTGGTCCCCGTTCTATGACGGCATGCTCGGGTTGAATGTAGTCACTTCGTCACCATGTCACCATTCATCTTCATGGACCAGTCTAGACAGAGTTACCAATGAGCGTAGGGCTGGTGTCCGGCACGACGACAGCCTCATAAATTGTGCGAAGCCCAATGATGCCACTGCAATATGGCAACCGTGAACTGCCATTAAATAAGTTTACTTGCCACCGCTGCCTTGTGGTTAGGCTCTTGAGCCAAAGTGCTGGAGGAGGAGAAGACCTCGAACAAATAATCCAAACAGCTGTTTGGGACTCGCCTGTACTTATAGCTCCCAAGAAACCTCGTGAAGATATGTTCGAATTAAGTATTTCGATCCATGCTACGGCGCCCATGGGAACCGACGCACTACGCAATCCTGGTCCAGCTGTGCGAGAGAATAATAGGCGAGCTGGACTACTCAATCGGGAACGGACTCTTGGTATTGGATACCGGAATGTACAAACGTTTCTGGATCCTGACACCCAAAGCCTGAAGACGTACAGTCTTAATCAGTACAATGTAGATGTTGGCTGCCCACCTACCTGAAGTCCCGAGTTGTCGACTCTGGCGCTCGGGAAACAAAGATCCCGAGTGTCAACTCACACTGTACCACTCCTTTACCAAAGCGGTCCATGCGACTTTTCTGGTAGACATGCTGTGTCGATCGCCCTCTCGCAATAACCGGACCGCCCACTACTTGCTTGGGAACCAGTTAATGGCCGGATGGCTTACGTGCGATTTAAGGGTCACTTCACGAACATCACTGTTGTCCCCGTGCATGCACCAACATCAGCTGCCGAACATTGAAATAAGGACATTTTTACTCGCTGTTGCAAGGGTTAGTTGGAAGACCCCCGCCTTGATCTTCAAGTTTTTGTTGAGAACTGGGATGGCCGAAATGGACCTGGCGACTCTTTCAAGGATCACCTTATCGACCGATTTGGGTTCGGTTCGAAATGCGACAATAATGAGAGATTGCTGAACTTTGCTGATCAGAATCGACTATTTGTCACCAACACGTGCTCCCAGCATCACCATAAACATCTTCTGGCCTGGTATCCAAACCACAGTCATACGGCCAGTCTGATTGACTACATTCTAGTCAGTTCAAGGTTCCGCAGCTGGATCCACAATAGCTGATCGATGCGTGGTGCCGAAACTGGTAACGCCCATGGATTGACCATATTCTTGTTGACACACACGCTCAAAAGTTCACCTCTCATCTACACCCAAAGTGTCGCGGTAATGACGCCTTGATGTCGCCGAACTACGACAGCCCAGCACCATCGGGGTCCTGAGCAGAGAAATCTGGTCCTGTTCTACTACCCGAGCTGACGGAGGTCATCATTAACGGCATGGGTCTGTGGGGCAGGAGGGGATATATTTGGATACACCCAGCGGCGCAACAGGGACTGGATCGGCGAAGGCACCTTGCAGTTGTCTGCCCAAACTGCTCTAGCCAGGTACCGTAATGATGACTCACTCCGCCAACTCCGGAAAATGACGGCAAAGTCGGCTAGGGGTGACCGGAAGAGAGTGAGCTAAAACAGCGATCTCAGTGGAGTAGGCATCAAACGCTGGAGAACTGCTCCAAATTACCCGCCAAGTTAGTCATAAGTACCACTGGGCCACTCTGTTCGCGATGCGAACGGTGGTTTTATTGCCGACAACTCAACCAAGATGGAACATTGGAGTGAGCACTTCGAGTACCTTCTCGACTTTGATGAGCAACCCACCGCACCCTCGCTCTCATCTGCAGCGGAGTTTTATCCCTCTCCAGCATATGTAGTGTCGTGCGACCCCCTTCTGAGGACGAAGTCACTGGTGGAATACAAAGGGCGCGCAACAAGGCACCCGACGGGGACGGTATTCCTGCTGAAATCCGCAGGTCTTGTGTCGACACTGGCGTCCTGGTTCCATGAGATGATTGAACAAGCGTGGAGATAAGGTCGTTCCTGATAACTGGGCTTCGAGCATCCTTATGCCTGCCTCCAGGACAAGACGCGAGAACCAGCGCCCCACAAACCTCATCAACGTCGCTGCAAAGGTCTTCCCCTTATCCATTTCAGGCGATTCTAGGCTGTACGTGACTCTAGAACGAGACCTAACCGGACCGGATTCCGAGCTGGACGTGTATTTGCCAGCCAGAATCACTACCATGATCAATGTTTTCTACCACTTAACCACCGCGCGGGTCCTAGTCCATAGCAGTTTCTCCCAGTCGTTCGATATTCGATCTGGTGTTCGGCAAGGTTATATCCTGTTCGAATACGCCGTTGACTGGACTCTGAGGAACGTCCTGTACGAAGTTGACGGTGTTCAGTTTTCCCCCGGCCGCCGGCTGCCTGATCTAGACTACGCTGAGGACATCGCTTTACTAACTTCAAGTTTTGGCAATCTACAGTCATGGGTGAATGAGGTCGCCGGATCCGCCGGTTTATCCACAAACGCTGGGGAAGCCAAGGTGTTTTCCAGCTACATCCCCGACCAGAGGCACCTCTCGAGATTAATGGCTGTCAAATTGATGATGTAGAACGTTGGGCTGCGCAATTGGAAGATGGGCGAAAACTGGTGTTTGGCGACCACCGACTGAAGACAATCTTCCAAGTGGACTGCACCGACTTCGTCTCAAATGAGACAGTGGGCATTCGGTGTGACATCGCAAGTATGCTTCAGGCCGTTCAAGGAAGGCGACTGCGGTAGTTCGGACACGTTCTTCGCCGTCCACCTCGCGAACTCAGTGTCGCTGCCCGCGGCGTGGCATCGATACCCACTCGGAGGCGTCGAAGCGGTAGCCAACCCCAAACCTGGCTCGACCAGTCAGTCACGACACGGAGTTGGCTCTCAGACCTTCGATATTCGGTCTCCATTCCTGACGAATAAACTGGTGTCCAGATCCGCTGTCGCCAGTCGTCACGCATGGAGAAATATAGACCGCGACATCACCGAAGCCGGATAGATCAAAAATGATCGCGGACGTGTCGAGTACAAGTATCAGTCTCGGTGGGTAAATGTAGACGGCTCAGCCGGACTCACGAAGTCAGGGGACTGATAACTGTGACTGATGACAAGGACTTGGAAGAATGAGCAATGCTACTCCAAGACCGCAGACCCCTCCATGGCCACTACTCGGTGGTCGGATGATTCTAAATGACTTCATGCAACGTGAATGAGGCCCAGCATAAGGCGATTCCCGCAACGATCCCTCATCCTAGCTAAGGACAAGGCCTCACCCAGGTTTACAGACGCGACCTCAGACGCTCAACACGAGCCAGGATGGCGAGTCAACTACCACTCACGGCTTCCCACCAAAGTCCTTTTCATACGCCCTTACGTGCCACAAACCCTCAAAAAAGGTGGCAGACCACCCAGGCCTCGTGCGAGACCACACTCTACCTCCCCCCCCCGAGGCGCCGCATCCTTGTACAATTCCATCAGTAGGCCTTAACAGCCGAATGTAGGGATATGCCAATAGCCGTGCGGGCCACCATACAGCTCCGGCGCATAACACCATGTCTGGGTTAAGGAGCGCAACCCAGCGGACAATACGAACCCACAAGTCGTTAAGGGGGCACCACTCAGACCAAAGCTCGAACAGCACCGGAACCCCCTGCCTACCGCGTCATCATGGGAGCCCTGTAGTGACGCCCAAAGACTGCCACGGAAGACACCCAGGCCCCGTACGCACCTCCAATCGGAAATCTAGCAGACCGCGCGGCAAACAACTTGCACAAGCAAGCGATGCCAATAACGGCTGGGCGGACAGCAGACGCCTCCCGAAGACATCCAACTCAAGCCAACACCGGCAGCCCGCGGCAAAGGACGGTCACCGTACCGAGCGTACTAGTCAAACGCATCAACTTTAGCCTCTACCTTACAAGCAACCCCTTAGGTACCCCCACAACGCGACCCGATGTGAGCACGCCAGCCACTAAAACCAGTGAGCAAGCTAACGACGCATTAGACGCAGGACACCTGGAATCCCGTAGCATCGGAACTGCGGACGACCAATTCACGCGAGCTCATGAGACCCGCCCACGAAAGCCACATATGTCCATACCAGAGAGAAACAAAGCGAGCACACTTTAAATCGACAAAATTACCAAGGCGCAAATCAAACAAGAAGGCCACAGGATTGTCTGAGATTTTAATGAAAAAGTAAGTCGATACTTAGAAACATTTTCGGTGAACGATTCCGGGGCCAGACTCGTCATACTCTTGCTTGGAGATCCACATCTGTTGGAATGTCGACAGGGAAGCCAGGATCGAACCACCAATCCACACAGAGTACTTCCTCTCCGGTGGCGCAACAATCTTTATCTTCATCGTGCTCGGAGCCAATGCAGATATTTCCTTCTGCATACGGTCAGAGATGCCAGGGTACATGGTCGAACCTCCAGACAGAACCGTGTTCGCGTACAGGTCCTTCCTGATATCCACATCACACTTCATAATGGAGTTGTATGTGGTCTCGTGGATACCAGCTGACTCCATACCAAGGAAACTCGGCTGGAACAGAGCCTCGGGGCAGCGGAAACGCTCGTTGCCAATAGTGATGACCTGGCCATCAGGCAACTCGTAGCTCTTCTCGAGGGCTGAGCTCGACGCCGCATTGCTCATCTCCTGCTCAAAGTCCAACGCCACATAGCACAGCTTCTCCTTTATGTCTCGCACGATCTCGCGCTCGGCCGTCGTAGTGAAACTGTAGCCACGCTCAGTCAGAATCTTCATCAGGTAGTCCGTCAGGTCACGACCAGCCAGATCCAGTCGAAGAATGGCATGCGGCAGTGCGTAACCCTCGTAGATGGGCACAGTGTGCGTGACACCGTCACCAGAGTCCAGCACAATACCGGTGGTACGACCAGACGCGTACAGTGACAACACAGCCTGAATGGCCACATACATGGCCGGGGAGTTGAAGGTCTCGAACATTATCTGGGTCATCTTCTCACGGTTAGCCTTCGGGTTGAGAGGCGCTTCAGTCAGCAGTACAGGGTGTTCCTCGGGGGCAACACGCAGTTCGTTGTAGAAAGTGTGGTGCCAGATCTTCTCCATGTCATCCCAGTTGGTCACAATGCCGTGCTCAATTGGGTACTTCAGGGTGAGAATGCCGCGCTTTGACTGGGCCTCATCACCGACGTAACTGTCCTTCTGGCCCATGCCAACCATGACGCCCTGGTGCCTTGGACGGCCTACAATGGATGGGAAGACGGCGCGTGGAGCATCGTCTCCCGCGAACCCGGCCTTGCACATGCCGGAGCCATTGTCAATCACAAGAGCGGCAATATCGTCGTCACCCATCTTTCTGTGGAGAGCACTTGATGGTTGTTTATATAGCTAGACGCGACTGCCATATATGGCCGTTTATGCCTAACCAATGACGTGCAGGTAGTTAAGCCAATAACCTGGGTGAAGGCGTGCATCCAGCGCCCATTGGTCAGTTTGAGTGTGATGTGTCCGTTCGTGCATTGCGTGCGCGGATTCGGCGAATGTTCCCTAAGCGCGCTTGGTGCATAGGACGGAAAGCGGGGTTCGACGAGTTATGTTGAGCACCTGTTCTTCACTGTTATGTTCTGGTTTCTGATTGGGAGACTTCGTGAGTACTCTGAACCTTTCGCAAGTGTAGACTGGAACGCAGTGCTTGACTAATACGCACTCGCCCTTTTTACTGAATGTTAGGAGAGCATATTTGTGACACCTTAACGCTCGAGTTAGTAGATGCCAGTTGCCGTTGTTGGCGCGTTATTTATCGCGCCCCTACTGGATTCTTATACTCGATACGCAGGGAAAGGGGTAACTCGAGTCATCAGTCAGATAAACAGTCTTTGCTCCATGCATCCAGGGGAAGCGTAGGGATTATTTTGAAAGTATAATCTTTAATGCCACGTTCCTAAACATGTCCCCCATCAGGTTAAGGTGCCCTGCTCCGAGGCGACTGTTGATCTTGAAAACTTAGTTGCACCTTTAGGGCGTACGTCCATAGAAATGCGTTTGCCTTTGGTTATGCTCGGCTGACTAACCCGTCCAAACAACTACAGTTGTGTAAACCAAATTAAAGGCATGCTCGACAGATTGCCTAGCGAAAAGACACGGCAGTATCAGTAGCCTAATAGATAAGCGATCTGGGCACGAAATGATTGTTGCTAAGTATCATTTTGGAGCGGTGAACGTATAGCGCGTAATAACTAATTATGTGAACTGCCGTCGTGACGCCCATCCTACGTGAAGTGTAGAGCGAGGCTTGTCAGATATTTAAACCTCGAATTGACCAACAGTACAAATAAACAACAAGCAAACGGCTGTCCTGACATTTTAAGTATTCCAGTTGCTTGGTCACCAGCAACTGTGACCTTTCCTGTGTCAACTCATGGTCACACGCCTTGTGCGCATTGGCGGGACACCGATGACTGCCATATTGTTATCTCAAAAAGAGCGATAATCGACTTTTCGACCGTCGTTTTTGATGACGTCCACTGTGTGCTCCGCAGCAGTGGGAAGGCAGGGACGGTGGCCTGCGAGTGAATTAGTTTATGGTGGTGGTAGACTTGTGCAGTATCTGACGCGCCCTCACCTCCCCAACCTGAGCCGCGTCTTAAAGAATAGTCAAGAAGACAAGAAGTGGGAAAGAGAGAGCGCATAGCTGGCGTGGCCGGAGCCGCCCCTAGGCGTGTCGCCACACCTGGCCATATAGGCCCTATAAAGGAACCATTGCGGCCTGACTCAGTCTACCAGTCCGCCACTCCACACAAGCACACACGGAACTGACTGCGAGGTCCAAGTTATCCCGCCAGTTGGCAACCTTCCAAGCCATGGATTTTAGCGCACCCTGATAGTGTTAATCGCGTCTATAGTGAGAAAGTGCGTTGCGTCGTCGATCTCACACTATTCATTTTCCCAGTCCGAGCCGGTCAGATGTCTGGGGCCGGAAATGGGTGTGTCGAAAAGAGACCTGAACGGAGCAGAAAACGGAAATGTTTATACGCAGGACAGCCAGCGGTCACAAGCAGAAAAAGGCAAAGAAGGGGGACAAATGACAACAAAGCTTTTAAATTAAACAATAAAGGCGATAAGCAATATACACGTGGACGGCAGTGCCACAACCAAATTGATATTGTTGGGCGTCTAAAGCTATGCCCCTCTTGCGTCAGCTCTGATCTGGACAGATGTGAATGTGCCATTCGGAGAACTAAGGCATTTGTGACAAAAGTGGAGCCGGGACAAACAATTCAGCCAGCTAATGCATTCAACCTCGGTGGTCGTCGATCTGACTAAGTCATGTCACTGATGCCATATTAGGAAAGAAAGCGGAGCAGACTGACCCTGTGCAACCTCCCTTCACTCCAAGATATCTGGCAGGTCTTGGAGCTATCAGGCCAAATCATGATTCGTGACTACAAATAGCATCACTTAGCGAAATAATTCAACTCTCCGGCCTGGGAACTGAACTACAATGGCCTTTCATAATGTGACCCTTTGGTAAATTCAGGCGAGATGAAGTCAGTGTGATTCGACTCCGCTCCACATGAACTCAGATGCAGCGGGTTCATGACAGGCGCACGCGAGAGCTTCGTGTTGGAGCAGACTCTATGCTCCCACACCCATCTCCAACCGTCTGAGCCATTGTGGGGTCGATAGGTGTGGATAGGTGTGGGACAAAGGAGTGAGGTCGAGGTTGTGCAAGTGCACCTCACTACACTCCGAGTCGCGCTCTCTCCCTATCCCTTCTCCTCCAACGGCCTCCGCCGCTGTTGTGCCTCAACGATAAATGGGGGTGTATTAGCCTGCGGGGGAGGGGGGGGGGGC